TCCGGTAAAACAGGTATAACTCGAGCTGAACTGCATATGGAGAGGAACTTTTTAAACCCTTTACTACAGTAGTCTCATCGAGTACTACAAAGTGGTGTAAGTCTCTACTCAAACGGAACGTGGCATCAGGGAACGCTTCCTCGTCAGTATATTTCACAAATATTTCGTACAAACGATCAATGTGCCCGGCGAACAATTTGTCGTCAGCAAAGTCGAAATCGGATCCAGAGCTCACATGAACGTCAGTACTTCGACTTCGAATGACCCTTGAGTGAAGCGTGAGTGTAAAGACGATATGGCCTTTGTCAGTTGACGAAAAAAGATATCCATATTCTCTGTCGCTAAAGGATCCGTTCACGACTCCGATGAGGTAATCTCGAAATTAAATCGCCCTTCATACATTTATATCGAACACTATATAGTAAGACTGTATTTTGTGCCGCATTACGTCAACAATCGAAGTCGGCGAGTTTGCGAAGCGCGACACAAATGATCATCGATAGAGCTCTTAACAGATTCATTCGAATACCTCTAAAGTCTCCTCTAAATTGAGAAAAGAAAAGTCTCATGGAGAGTCGAGTTTTTGGTAGGTCTTACAATTACATGATAAATTTCGAACATTCTTAAAAATAGACGTTTTTTGTAAATGCTCGTTCAACGTTTCAGTATCGCGAATCCAATAATGATACCAACAGCTAAAACGACAGTTCCGACAGCTTTAGCTATATTCCAGGCCCGTTCAGACTGATCGGCTTTTTGACGTACATTAGGTTCTTGATTCAATCCGGATTTCTGAATTGATTCGAGTAACTCGGCATGGCTCTGGTGTGGTACATTTACAGTCACTTCTCCTTGCTGGAATCTTTTCAGGTCATTTCGATGTTTTTCTACTGCCATTTTGACCGTTAGATCTTGAGATGCGTTCTCCCTGCTTTCAATGGCTGCCAATAACTGATTAGAATTATCCACAGCCATATCAGACGCTCGCTCATAGATTCGTTTCGATGATTCACCAATTGATTGGGCATGCTGGATTGCACGAGATACGTCCGCAGGTGTGAGAACACCAGCTTGTATGGCAGGTCCACATGTGTTCACTAGAGAATAGACAATCAGTTTTATTCTAAGTGATAACGACTAGCATACCCAAACCGCTGAGATTGATAACAACGCTTAGACAATCTTTGGCTGTTTCTATCCATGCATTCGTGTTACGTTGAAGACTAATAGTCAAGTTCTTTTCATCGGGTGATGAAAAAAGGGTTGTCTCCAATGCTCGATCACCATCGGCTTTCAACTTTTCTAGTTCTCGTATTGGACGGAAGTTGTCGAGTGCTAATGCACCATTCACTAATTGATGGGCACATATCGCTACGTCCTCATCATTGGGTTCAAGATAGCTAGTCGCTTTTCCTGTGGCGGAGTTCAGTTGCATCGCCATCAAATATAATTCAAGATTCGATCAGCAATAAATCTCAATTCAGATAACTTTCGATCTAATAACTAAAACAATTCAAAAAGAGTGAAGAAAAGTACCATTGTACCTAATCCTATGGGAAATTCAGAATTCGTCCCCCAGTGCAGTATTACGTTAGAAGAGTTTAATTACGAATGAAACAATGAGGTACCCATTAAACCCACATTTTCAAGTGGAACAAGTGACCGAAAATCACCCTAGTAACAAACCTCTTCCGTAAAGAACATCGATCCTACTAGCTAAAGGTACACTGATAGATGAGAATCAGAATTCATTCCCGTCAAAATGGAATAGAAAGATTGTAATTAATTTTTTTCACTATTCAAAAGACAGTCTATATGCAACGATTGCATATAGCATCTAGACATGTGTACACGTGTCAGGCATCGCTTCGCACTTCCTCCACAACATCAATTTCATCTTCTTGTAAGTGCTTAAAAAACCTACCTTGATGCATTTTAATACCGCCTAGTTCAGTTTGAAACACAACTAGTTCGTTTTGAAATGCAATATTGATCCAGTTGAGTTTCAAATCCACCTAGTCAGCTTTGTCAGTTCAGATCTAAATTTTGATT